TATGTAGCTATTATAGACACAATATTTTGGCAAATTACGCTCTGACCATCATCAGGCGTCCATTGATTCGTCTGATATAAGACGTTTGTTGCTACTGTGTTCTTTATCTCCGTGATGCCAGTCAGTGTTCATTCGTTTGAACGAGTGTTTCACAACCTGATCCAGAGATTGCTTTCACGGCCATTAGATGATAGTAACATATGTATAACAAACTACGCCATCAGTGGATTTCTGGAGCCTTTAAATTCAATGTCAGATTCTTTCAATATGTAGTTATCATGGGGAGTTCGTGATACTTTTCATAACTTAGTATTTCATTTCTGTGATGAGTAATTATCAATAAGCTTTTATTATTTTAAACTATCGTTTTCATAAATATATAGTTAATATATAAATGTTATTATAATCGTAACGTTACTGATTTTTGAGCTGAATCTAATTTGTTATTGCCAATTCATGCCGCTTAATTAATTGATTAATTAATTAAAATGTTTAAAGTATTGCAATAACAAATGGAAAAAGAAAAAGAAAAATGGACAAAAAACTAGACACTAATTAACGTGACATCACCTCATCTAAGACAATTCTAAAAGTGTATTTGGAATAGGCCTAACTGTACGCATTTAGTTAATAATTATATGAATTATGTTTCTACACTTGGATTAAACAGAGATTAAAACACATGCTTCACAGATGCCAATGAAGACTTAATAATATTGCTTTTGATCGACGCCCCTGACATTTCAGATGACGTCAAAGATTCGCCGCGCAGACGGCGTAGAGGTGGGTTAATAAAAAAGTGATAAAAGAAATAAGAAACGAAGAAGCGGTCACACTGAAATGGCACGAAATGGGTAAAAAAATGTAAAAATAAAACCGAACTTTATTTGAATGACTCTTATAGCTTTATTTGAGGACATCTTTATGTAAACTAAAAACGATCATCAAATGCGAAAGGATGTAAGAGATAAAGAGAAAAAGGTTTTAATGAAACATAAATGAAAAAAAAGCAAAAAAAAAAAAAAAAGAAAGAAAGAAAAGAAACAAACAAACAAAATAAAAACTGTAGAATAGGTTATTTGAATATATTTCCAAAATTTAAGAACCATTTTAAAGTAATATGTGTTCAAAATTCTTTGGGGAACAACATCAAGAAACAGTCAGCTTTCGACTATTTTAAAGTTAATGTTTGCTTATTTCTGATAACAGTTTCACGTTTTCTAAGTTCGTTTAGTCACAAGGCAACGATTATGGGTCTCCCAGTGTGGGCCAGATTCATAAGTAATCAACTTTTTACTTATTACTGCACAGGTACTTCTGACCATATTAAGGAAATAGTGAGGTACCTCTGACTATATTAAAGAAATAGCTAGTTAGGACTAGTCATATTAAGAACCTAACGTGGTACCCCTGGCTATATCAAATAAGTAACAAGGTAACTATATTAACTATATTAATGAAGTATCAAGGTACCCCTATCTATATTAAGATAGTGGCGAGGTACCACTAGTCATATTATCAAAGTAGTTAAGCACTCCTGGCTATATTAAAGAAATAGCAAGGTACCACTGGTCATATTAAGGAAGTAGCGAGCTACCCCTGATCATATTAAGGAAGCAGCGAGGCATCTCTGACTCTATCAAATAAGTAACAATGTACCACTGACTATATTAAGGAGGGGGCGCGGTACCCCTGACTATATTAAGGAAGTAACGAGACACCCGGGTCATATTAAGGAAGTAGGGAGGTACCTCTGGTTAAGGAATTAGCGAAGTACCCCTGGCCATATTAAGGAATGTTAATTCCTTAATATGGCCAGGGATCCTGGTCATAATAAAAAAAGGCATCCTGGTCATAATAAAAAAAAATATGGAGGTATCCCTGGCCATATTAAAGAAGTAGCGAGGTAACTAATTATGGTTTTCTAAAAATCCAGAATTGATTATAGGTCTTTTACCTTTAATGCCGAAAGTCCAATTTTTTTAGGACTGCTTGCATTAATGATTTAACCTCTCATTCAGACACATATATGGAGGCATCCAGTTAGGATCGAACGCACAATATTAACAAGACTAGCTTTTTTAACTATTGTTATGTGTCATGCACATAGAGAGCTCAAAAATGTAAAAGAAAAAAAACCGTGATTATACTAATTTTAGCCATCTATGAACGTGAGACTTGGTAGAGATTTTCCAAGCGCAGCTTAGATGTGGCACAAGGCCGAAAGAATGGGGCTCTTCAGTAGTAACTGATCTAGCAAGCCAAGCTTGCTAACCATTACACCACGTCGAGGTGCCCAATTGCGAGATTTGGTATGTATTAATCGAGCATCCAGTGCTACTGATAGTTGAAATTTATAAAATCTCTCTATTAAAAACAAAATAGGTTTCTCAAGTCCAGTAATTGTTGTCGCTCTTTCCAATATCAATAGGGCATTCCTTCCTATTCGTGTTGAACGTCAATATCTTAATTATCTGGTTATATTCCATTCGATTTACATGTGATATACATTTTAGTTGTTGCTGCTGTTGAAAGTCGTCAAGTGATGTGGTTTGTTATTTGATAAAGTTTGTGATTCTGTAGTGCCATTTCACGAGGTTCGAAAAAAGATGATACACACTAAGGCCTACAAGTTTCCTTCGCTCGAAGCCATTTTCAAAATAGTTATGATATCTACTTGGTCTGATACAAGAACACAGTTCAGGAGCGATTAGTGAAAATAGAACATCCAACACTACCGAATTAGTCTAATCAGTGTGGTATGAATAAAAGTTATTTACAAAGATTTACAAGGCTTCAATTGTGAGGCAATCACAAAGAAAGACACTCACTCGACATTCGTAAACATGTCATTAGTTATTTACAAAGATGAGCTTAAGCTAGAATAAGGCAATCGTTGTGAGGAGAGAGCTAATGTACGATATATATAATAATAATAATAATTTGAAAAAAATTCACCCTCATTACCACCCGAGTTTCAACCTTACGGTATCATCAATTATTTAACAGTAACTACCTGATGAGACCGTAAATTTGAAACCCTGTTGGTGCTGAGGGTGAATTTTTTGAGCACTATCATAAAAATATCAGTCCATTGTTTGACCTAATATATATATATATATATATATATATATATATATATATATATATATATATGAAGAAATATAGTCATAAGATGTGCTATATTTATAGGATAAAGTGCTCAATATCAGAGATAGAGCGAATGTAAATATAAAAGTGAACATAGAAGTCAACACTTAGAGGCGACAGTCTGTTTCATGCTATATGCAATCGTCAGGCCTGACGATTGCATATAGCATGAAACAGACTGTCGCCCTAAGTATTTATATATATATATGAGGCGGACGTGGAGGATCCTGCGGGACAGCACAAAGTATACATAGGGGTAATGAAGGCGCCTTTAAAAAAGGTGGTACAACCATAAATCCTCCTTCAAACTGGAGAGCCACAGCAGTTGCACTAAACTGGCAAACCATGTGTGGGAATCTAAAAAGAAATACAATAAAAGCCCTAGCATAAAATGGTGTGTATTAAGGAATGTTACAGATGCATTGATAATATTTGTAGGCTACGTCAGGAAGAGAAACTAGCCATAGTGACGTACCCAGTCAAGACCAACCTGCTAAACCAACGGTCTGAGGTAATGTCGAAATGTAGACATACCAGTAAATATACTCTGAGCCAGTACGAGCCCGGATGAACAATTTTTTTTGTTTCCAACTTTCCCTTTTCCCCTCCCCTTCTGATATATCTGATTTGCGGCGGTTTGTTAATTTATTTAAGTGGGTATTACATATTAACCATCCACAAGTAACTGCCCTAACGAGACAGTAAGGCCGAAAGCCGTGTAGTGCGTAGCGAGTGGATTTTTCCTAATCTCATATATATATATATGTATTGTCATCCACAGACAGACTGTTTCGCTGTATCACAGCTCACCAGTGTGGCTAGACATCCGCTTGCCTTTAGCTAGGATTGAAACCTGACTGAATTGGCATCAGTCAGGGATTCTACCACTAAGCCGTTAGCGCAGGGATGAAGGTGAATTTAAGCTTATTTATTTTTTAGATAAACACACAGTGATTGAGAGAACTCGATACGATTTACCGAAGAGTCTTGCATTATTAGCCGTAATAATCACTGTTTACAAACCAACATTTCCTCCCCCAGAGTGCTCAACTGAAATAAATTTCAGGAGCATATATATATGTATATGTGTGTGTGTGTGGGGTGGGTGGGTGTGTGTGCGTGCGTGTGTGTGTGTGTGTGTGTAGGGCCCGACAGATATAACACCCACGTTTTAAACAGTCATCTTTGTGGTGCTAGTGAACTTAGGCAAGTGGCAATAGTGCTTTCATCAAGCTAATGACTTACCATTTTAGTCAGATACCATCAGTTACCATCATGGCTTGGATCTGTGCACACAGTGTGTTTGCTGTTGAAACGTTTCTTTTAAGACTGGTGCATCGGCAGCACAGAGAAGCTTTTCGTGCTCATTTCATGTTACGCCGGAATGATGCTGTTCCGGATAGAAAATCAATATAGATATGAAACACAAATTTTAGGCCACAGATTCAACAATTAAAGTCACCTGGAAGACATCGAAATGCTCGTACTTCCGGGTGTATGACGAATAGAGGCCACCACTAGGAGGATACCAGTTTTAAATCCAAATTAATAAATTGTAGACTTTTGTTTTAACAACAGTGAAATAATTATTTAATAGCAGCTACTTTGGTCATTTTGTCAATCTTTCAAACGTGGGAGATATTTCTGTCGCATCCTATATATATATATATATATATATATATATATATATATATATATATATAATATCAAGTATGTGGTGCAGTTCAATTTACATTACATGAATCATTCATACAAAAAACAGGTATAAAAGTTAAATTGTTCAATAATTAGAGGAATGTCACAGTTATTATTGTTATATATATATACACATAATTAAGCTAGCTAGCTAGCTAGCTAGATAGATAGGTAGATAGATAGAGAGAGAGAGAGAGAGAGAGAGAGAGAGAGAGAGCTAGAGAGAGAGCTGTATAATGAATAGCGGCTCAGAATGCGAAATCAGCAAGGCGAGTTTGAATTGCAGTCAGGTCCTTTACATTCACCTACGCGCAAATACCCTTGTGAAAGGTATGAATCGATATCCTCCCACTAACTATGGGTTAATTAGCAGGGAATAACATTTATATAACTAGAAAAATCATTGTTATTCTCAAACACATTGTTAATGCAATATTGTTTTAGTAGTTTTTGATTAAGACGTTAAATTTGTGTTTTAGAGATTTCGAAAAATTTTACAAAGTTTCCAATGAAAGTGTCAAAATAAATTGTCCAATATCTGATAATTTTCGGAGTTCATCAGCCAATCAACATTTTTTTTTTTTGTTGGTTTCATCGTTTTTTAAATATCGCGTCTGTACGGGTCATGCCATTTATCGCATATTCACGGACAGTTTGTTTTATTTTTTTCGCTGTTCTTAAAACACACGCATGAACACACACACACACACATGTATGTGTAGCGATGAAAAGGAGAAATAACCATGACATTCTACACATAACCACATAGAGACAGAGGCGCGGGTAGGCGCATGCAAACGCACACACGCACACGCGCGCACACACCCAAACAATTAAAGAAGAAAAAAAAATCAATATTGCACCAATGAAAATTGCATAAATTATATTCTTTATCTCCGTATAAAAGTGACGAAAACGAGAAAATATACACTCAATTGCTGGTATCTTCTGACGAGTGGACGTAGCAATTACTGGAGGGTCCGTCTACGAAACTCTAGGGTTGAGATGCTGAAAATAACATTAATCAGCTAAGTGACTAATTATTTTATATCTGTAATTATATATATATATATATATATATATATATATATATATATATATATATATATATATATATGTATATTAAAGACATTTTTATGTTTAACGTTCTTTTATAGATACAAGTATTTAAGTAAATGCTCTGTTTATAATAAACAGTATTAAATAACATTTATCGGCCTGAATGTCCGAGAAATTTTCATAGAAAATATTCGTCCTTTGAACGTTAGACATAAAAATGTCTTTAATAAATAAATTGTCGGACTTTGTCCATTTCTTAATATATATATATATGAAGAAATATAGTTTTAATGTATGCTATATTTATGTGACAAAGTGCTCAATATCAGACAGAGTGTATGTAAATATTATGTATATATATATATATATATATATATGATTGAATTCTTGCCGTTCACACGCGCACACACAGACACACACATATAGATGTGTGTGTGTGTGTATAGCATGAAGTCAGTATATACATATATATATGTGTGTATGTATGAGTGCGTGTGTGTGTGCGCGCACGCTTGTAGGTCTGTGTGTATGTTTTTTTGTGTGTATACACCAAGAATTCAAGCAACCATGTTGCTTTCTTTGACATATTTTACTCAATTTTCATATAAATTCATGAACATCCGGATCAAAATTGGGAATAAATTGTCCAAAATTCATCTTTCTGCTTTGTTTCTCTTCGAATACTTTCGGTTGAATCTAATAAGACTTGTTTGATATATATATATATATATATATATATATATATATATATATATATATATATATATATATTTCAAAAAAGTGCAAATTATAATTTATTAATTCATGAATCATTCATACAAAAACAAATATAGAGGTTAATGATTTAAATCATTAACCTCTATATTTTTTTTGTATGAATGATTCATGAATTTATATATATATATATATATATATATATATATATATATATATATATATATATATATATCAAACAATATATATATATATATATATATATATATTAATATATCAAACACACACACGTATAATATATATATATATATATATATATATATATATATATATATATATATATATATTTATGGAACGGAAGTTGATTGAAATCTGTTTTTTTGTGCATTCAGTTTGTGGGAGCTGGTTGAAATGAAGTCAGAATGTAGGGAAAAAAAGAGAATGGTACGTACGTTAGGAAATAACGAAAGGGAATATAAATTGAAGAAAAAGCTTAATCTCTCTATAAAAGTAGAAACAAAGAAGAGAAAAAATAGCGATAGGGAAGCTAAACGACGGGGTTCGTCTCCAGAACACCGCGATGTGGATCCTGATAATGGTTTAATTGTATTCTTGATGACAGGACCTGTGGTGCTGGTAGCGCGAGAGACAGTCACGAATGGCTGTTTTGGATAATTACAAATGACTGCAGTGGTAAGAAAGATACAGAACTGTTGTCGACGCCTGTAACATGGCCCAATCTCCTGGAACAGCAAGGAAGGGTCGAGAAAACGGAAAAATGATATTAAAATAAGTAATGCGTGTGTGACCCAAGCCAATTCACTAATTTACCACGTACACACACACACACACATATATATATATTAGGAAATGGATTAAATACGACAGATCTTTTATTTATTTGTTTAAACTTTTTTTTTTAAATGGCTATTCATATTTGAATAGATGCTGTTTTTATTTATTTATTAAACAGGATATTTATTTATTTACACCTATCGGGTTGAATATTCGAGGAATATGTGCGTGCTCCGGCAGGATTCGAACCTGGCTCCCTTAGAGGAAACCATCATTAGATCTGACGTGCCTTAGATCAGCTCGGCCACGAAGATGTCTGTTCAAAAGTACTATCCAGGCTTTGTTTGATCAGGAGGTCCTACGTGGCCAAGTTGGTCTAAGGCACGTCAAATCAGATTTTCAGATTACATCCACTTTATTCAAAACGCGCCAGGCTTTAGCGATGCAAAGTTTCACATCCTTTGCAGTAGAATTTATTTCGCTCCTAGGTATGTAAAAGATTCAACAGATTTTATTGATTTGCCTGAGGCAGTTTGTATTAAGTCTTGAACCAGCAAAGCCCAATATAATATATATATATATATATATATATATATATATATATATATATATATATATATATATATATATATATATATATATATATATATATATATATAAAACAAACATACATACATACATATATATGTTTCATCCTCTGAGGACTTTGTCATCATCTATAGGAGTGCTCATGAATAGTTATCAGGTTATTGGAAAAGTCAGGCAAGTTCATAAATAGGAGGTGATACAATTCAATGACTAATAAACAAAAGTGAGTAGGAGATTTTTTTTGTATGTCTATATATGTAAATTAGTATTTAGATTATTTTGGATAGGGAGTGATTTATGTGTAATATGTTTTGAATAATAAATTTAAACGTTTTCTATACCCAAAATTTTGAAAAGCCAATAACACCTTTTCTCTTATATATAAATAACTGGGCCACCTCGGCGTGGTGTAATGGTTAGCAAACTTGTCTCGCTAGATCCGTTTCGACTGAAAAGTGAGTTCGATCCCCACTAGATGTCCCATACTTTCGGCCTTGTGCCACATGTAAGCTACGCTTAGAAAATAACTATAAATACCTGTCACAAAATAAAATCTTTATATTTGCCTTGATAAAGTCCGCGGTGGATGAAACGCATCGGCTGAGATAAGATTTCCTTTTTTGTCTTTATACATGTTGTCCTTTTACAGATATATTCTATTTGAAACTTTTACACACACGCACACACACACACACATATATATTTCTTTTTACTGTAAATGATATTTTTCGTCGCTTCACTTGTTTGTGTTGCTACCGGTGTTTTCTTTAAACAGTGAAATTATTAACAACTCAGGATAGCCACTAAAATTAACGTTTGTACTAATAAGAAATCATTTCGGATCAAACATCCTTTCATCTATATATATATATATATATATATTGATGCATGTTTCATTAAATAATATAGAGAAGTTTTGTCTATTTATTTTATGTAAATTCTTTCCATATCGTCTGATAAGTTAATAACATTATCATTAAAAGACGAAAGAAAATCACCTTATTGATACATATTTTTTAATCTTATCTAAGTTTCCGGCTTACATAAGCCATTATCAAAGATGACAATTACATTACAATATATTAAATACACCGATAAACAATAATAAGTCTGTTTTTGTTTACATGGCAGATTTCCAAGCAACAACAAACTCCAAAATTCCAGCGTCTCGTATGCACGAGTTATTAGAATTATATATATATATATATATATATATATATATATATATATATATATATATAATTCTAATAAAGAACAAACGGGAAATGTTTACAAATGTTTTCCTTATTTTACCATTCTGTCGGATTTAATCCATATTTGATTCCAGTTCAGTGGTCTCAGAATTTTCAAATGAAATTTTCATATTCGATTTATGCGATTAAAGGAAAAGCTCTGGATTAAGTGCATTGACATGTCTACCGAACAGAAAGTCTTGCAATGTGGCACTTATGAGTCAGGATTAATGTGAGCGTGTTTGAAAGTGGAAGTAAAACTCGAAATGATTTTGAGGATAATTTTTATGTTTATTTTTATGTTTCACCTTGTTGATTTATTTAACTTTCAGAAATTATTTTTTCTAAATAAATATTAAATCTTTTCCATAAATATTTTCATGGTGATCGTTCTGATGAGTTTTCCTATTGTATCTTGACTTTACGAATTTATGATCAGTACTAGATTGGCAGCTAGGTCTCATCATTTTACAAATGAAATGGCTAGATGTAACCATAAGTTCTTTGCTAACAGTTTCTTCTCTCGCATTTTTTGCTTTAGGAACTCTCTTCCGGCTTCTTGCTTTCCAGTCAACTTTGATCTTTCAAAATTTAAAGTCAATGTCAATCCTCGTGTACCGTAGTCTTTTATTGACCTATCGACTTAATGATTTTTCCAGATTATTTTACTCACAGTAACTCTTCGCTTCTTAGTGGCTTTATTGCGTTGCTTGGGGTGAAATTATTGTAAAGATAGCAAAATGACGTTGCCACAACAATTCTGTGATGTTACAAAAAGAGAGCTTGCAAAAGTGTTTTTGTGGAATTCTAAAAACGTTACGCAAGGCAACGTATGTGCAATTAAGGTAACGTTGCAAATACGTCGTCTTGTAACATTTACATTAATAGAAAATAGATAATAAATTCTAGGAAGATATTAAAACATACATTCGTAATATAAATTAGTGATTCTCAATTTTAAAAATTACGAAAAGAAATTTCATAACTTCTATATGTATTGTTTAGCGAAGAAAAAGTATTCTGATTTTATTTGACCAGTGCAAAACTTTTCAGCTACAGGAATTCGCAATGTTACCATAATGCTGTGACAACGTTGGGATGAACAGTCAGTTTGGGGTTTGGAAAATAGTTGATTGCAGTGTTACAATAACTTCACCACAACCTCACATGTCTCCCAACTAAAATACAACGCATCTGCAACGTTGCAAAGGCGTCCCGCGTTAACTGGGAAAACATCTTTCTTTTTCTTTTTTTCTTATTTTTTAAGGCTAATCATCATGATCATGATCATGATCATCATCAGTCCCACCTAAACTGTTTTTCTTACCTCTAGCTCAGTGATTGTTAACGGCTGTGCCGCGACACATATTGTCCCGCGACACATTATTGTGCCGCGTGATCCTCTTAAGTGTACCGCGAAATAGTGTCACAACATACAACATGTATGTGTGAAAGTGGTAATGGTACTGCATTAGTATTTGAATAAATGAATAAGAAATAAACTTTTTTTTTCAAATAATTCTTTTCACTATTCTTCGATTATGTTATTTTAAGTACTTTGTTTTAATATTCATTTTTTAAAAAAGTATTTTTATTTTTTAAGGACTCAAAATAAAACATTCGACGGTACCAACTGATACATTTAGGATTTCAATGCAAAACCAATATCCCACATTAGCTAAGAAGGCATTATCAGTTTTATTACAATTTACTACTTCTTATTTATGTGAATTAATCATCTCAACTCTAAATATCACGAAAATAAGAAGCGAGAAAGACTACGTTCAACTGAAAAAGAAATGAGGGTCTGCTTATTGGATATTCGACCAAACATTGAAGAAATTGCGAAAAACTCCAGTTACAGGTTTTACACTAAAGAAGCTGAACAAATAGTTGAATAGAAACATTGAAATAAAGTAAGTTCTTATTTATACGTGTATTTTCTTTTAAAAATGTATGGTTTTATTTCATAACATTTAAATATATACCCTTTAAAAAATTTGCTTAGTATGCTGTGATATTTTCATTTGCTCCTAGGTGTGCCGTTGATTAAAATGTTAAGAAACACTGTTCTAGCTATTGTGACATATTTCATATGGGAATATACATGTTCAATTAAAGGTAATATTTGGCAAAATTGATTCTTTTGTCAGCTTTAATGAGAGCATCAGTCTGACATACCCGCATTCACAGCAGCAGCAGTAGCTCATCTGCCATTTTAGTCTCCTGTCACTAAAGTCAGTTTCTTTTTTTCTCTACTGACACACTGTGCTTACATGAAGTGCAGCCTTTTCCATAAATATTCACTACACACCTGTGAATATTTGCAGCATATTCTTCATTCAAAGTAAATTCTATGACAGCTCTTTGCTTTTCAGTATCCAGTGGGGCAGACATTGTGAAAGATGGTTATGGGAAGGAAAAAGTGAAGGCAATTTTACAATTTTTTCCTTTGCTTTCGATGTATTTTATGGCTAATATTTATTGGTTCAGAATTTAGTGCAGGTTTTACTTGTTCCAACATTTTTTAAGAATAAAAACTCACGCAATGTGTGTAAAATTAGTTATCATTTTAAGGCTTATTTTATGTTCTTTCTTTCTATTTAATCTAACTTGAATCTTTTGTGAAGTTTCACATCTTTGAAGTTAAGATATCCAAACAAATTTTTCGCTAAATTTATTAATGTGAGTTTAAATTCGGCCGCAGTGCAGCATAAACGGCGGGAAATATCAATGAAGTTTGGTGCCAAATAAGTGTTAATGAATGCACAGTGCAACGTTCGGTAAAAAAAATCTGACGCGGTGAATTCGCGGCTTTGAAGAGAGAGAGAGAGAGAGAGTGAGAGAAGGAAAGAGAGAGAGAAAGAGAGATAAAGAGGAAGAGGAAAAAAGTGAGAGATATATAGAAAGAAAGAGAGCGAAAGAGAGAGAGAGAGACAAAAAGAGAAAGAGAGAGATAGCTAGAAGAAGAGAGAGAGAGTGAAAGCGGGAGAAAGAGTGAGAGAGAGAGAGAGAGAGAGAGAGAGAGAGATGAATATAGATTTGAACGAAAACTAGAATACCCGCCGTCAAGAAGATTGCGCTTTGCTTCTTTTGCGCAACAAAAGCAAACATCTTGATCGCATTGGGTCGTGCGATGTAAAGTGAATCCCAAACAACAACCGATAACGTTCAGTCGAGTAGTTGGATCAAGATGAATTCTAATCGGGTCCGTTATATTCTCTTACTTGGAACAAGTATGAATACACCTCATTTACCCTCAGTTAATTTGTAGGATTTGTATCAGTAAATCATTATTATCGCAAAGAAAAAAATAAATACATAAATAAATAAAATATAAAATAAATTCTTACATTCTAAAAATATTTTCTGGTTTTAAATAACCTGCAAATAGTTGATAAGGCGTTAAAAAAATCAATCAAAATAAATTTTTCCAGACATCACGCTCTTTAGACTCAAGTCCCATACTAGATCTTTTAATATGTCCAAAAAACAGTTTCAAAGATTTACTACGGATGTTACTGAAGAGTGAAGGCAAATTGGTTAGATTTTCTAAGAGTCGTTATTTTCCGTTTATCTAACAGTTTGTGATGGTGCACATCATAGTTCTTGAGTCCATGACCAAAAAATAAAACAAACAAAAAAACACGAAGAATGTACAAGCTGGTCCGAAAGTCTTGTCACCCCATACTAAAAAAATTAATGAGAACAACAGAAGAATAAATAATACAGGGCACATGAACTGCATTTAGTTTATTCACTTTCATCGACGTTGTCACATATCGAGAAGGTCTGTATGAACGCCATCTTTTTCGTGGCCCAAAATGATGCGGCACCATGTCCTGTGTGGTATTTTACTTTGTTGATTGTTACAAAGGCTCTCCGAAAGGCGTCCGTCAACTGATGGGTATTCTGGTATCGTTCATATGAAACCCTCTTCTTGATAATACCCAACAGAGCGTTGAAATAGAAAATCATACTATGTTGTGTGGGGTGACAAGACTTACGGACCACCATGTAGATAAAGTACGTCTTCGTATTAAATAAATTGTAATAAATAAAAATGAACTTATTTTTATGTTTTCTTGTGCTTTTTTTTAAATGATTGTTTTAAAGCAGAATGTACACAATTCAGAAGAAAATAGAATTCGTGTCTAATTGCACAAAAAATAAACCTCGAAAGATATTGAATTTAGAGTCCTTGGATTAGGTTTTAAATTGAAGTTAGTTTTTTTTTTGTTTTCTTTTTTTTTAATACACATTCGATTTAAGAGTCTTATAAAGCCTCAATTTACGGGCCAAACCGCTGTTATAAAATGAATCCTCGTGATAAATTTACAAATGAATGGCTGCAGATTCAATAAGCACCGGAATATCGGAGTTACAACTGTAAAACTTTCTTTGGGAGTGACTGCTATGGCGTAATGATTAACAAGTTAAACTAAATTTGCTAGTATCGGCAGTTTGATACTTACGAGTTCTCTACTAGTGCAGTCTTATTCCTAAGTTCTGTTTAGTAAATAATAGCATAAAATTTTATTTGTGTAAATTTAACAACCAAAAATAGATCGGCTAAAAATATGGCGAAGTTAAAAAAAAAAAATGATGAAAGAAAACTAGTCAAGTTATTTATAACATTAGACAGAATAGATTTTAGAAACACACACGGAGATGGCAAAAAAAAAAAAAAATGTGCACAGTAGAAACATTGTGAAAAAATACGAGCAAACTAGTTCGAGCCAAAGTATATTGAGTAAGTAAAACTTTTTGTCGAACAAAGATCAGACAACTACTACGGCTACTACTATTAGGTAGACAACATTAGAACATGGAATAGTGTCGGAATAAGGTGAAGGCATGAGATTATAGATGAGAATCTTGCCTAATCCTGACAGTTGTGGTAGGATTAATTGGTTAAGGCGTCATTCATGAAAGACAAGTCCCCTTTCCTCGATGTGTCGGGTGCAAATTTGAGTTTTGTGTAGAACTATTTCGGGTTCACGCTGTTTAGTTTAAAGGCCAAAGAATCAATCGGCTCAAAGATATTGCGATGAAAAGCAAGAAAAAAATAGATGGGAAAAAAAAAGACTAGTCAAAACATTTGTAATGATTTATTTCGGTAATTAATCTGTTAGAAAGGGTATAGATTTAAAAAGAAAATGATAAAAATCATATCAAAGTCTTAATCAAACCTGATAACCTCAAATAATTTCTAGTCATAAATTAAAAGTACTTCATAAAAAGCATAAACTGGTCGGTGAACGAAACGAAATAAGAACTTGAAAATCAAAAGTCAAAGAGATTGCCTTCCACCTCAGCTCTGAGACGTTATTCTGGACGAATCGGTACCATATTGAGACCTAAAGCGGGACACCCTGCAGTCTGACTCTCTCGTGTTAATGTGGACGAAGCGGTCAATCAGTTCAAGTTGGTACTTCCTTAGCGATAACATCTTAGAGACTGTCCGTTCAAACTGGTCTCTTTTTAGACGGTTGGTGGCGTGAGTCTCAGCAGAATGGATATGTTATTTAAGGCTTAACGTTTGACCTAAAAATAAGAGTTTATGTCTCTACGAATTCTTCAGTCTCGTGGTAAAATCTATGACATGTAAATCTACATCGGTTGTGTTGTTTGAAAAGATGTGCCGTATCGGGGGTGGGGAGACGGAAATTAAAAAAATAACTGTTAAAAATAATAAATAAATGTTAATTTGTCAAAAACAATCACCATTATTCGACTAGCAAAATTTATCTACGAAACTAATTTTTTTAATTAGTTTTTAGAAGCTATAATGGATATATACGGCATTGTAGGGGGAGAAATTTCTGATTTAGACCCCCCATTTTTAGCTTCTAATTTAGTCTCCGATCATTGAATTTCTGATTTAGTCTGTCCACCTTTAACTCCTGATTTAACTTCCCCATTTTTTAATTCAGATTTAGCCTCCTCGCTTTTTTATTTTATGGCGCCCTACTTAATGTAGAATGTAAACCTATGTCAAACAGTAAATCAAGACTTCGATCCAGTAATGTTTTGGTAAACAGTGAATAAAATGTGGCAGGTTTTCTTAGCTATGAAGAATTCTTTGAATAAATTAAGACAATCACAGCAGATCTTTACTGTTAACAATTTGATCGACGGAAGAGAATAGGTTTGTGCTTCAAATTTCCCGTTTTAGTCAACAAAATATTTGATGTTGTCCAGAATGTCAATATGGAAGTCGACAGCCAGTGAAAAATTTATCTGGAGAACATAAAATCATTAAATTCGGACACTTTACCGTTGATTAATGGTTAACGAGCTTGTCTGGTTGAATATTACTGCTGAGCTGAGAATTCGATCCTGATTGGGTGCCTCATAATTGCGACCTTGTATCAAAGTTAAGATAAGTAAATAACAATCGGTTTACTTTCATTTAATTACATTATTAAAACAAATTTATTGTTATAATATTACTTCAAAAGTTATTTTTACTGGATACCCGTGTTTTTATTTTAAACAGTATATTCGAACCATTTTCGAATTCTGACTTTTGGATATGAAACTGGGTATATATATGAACTTTTGAAAAAAATCTGAGCGAGAGAAAACGGAAAATACAACCTTGCTGAGCTGTGGCGCTCTCTGTGACCGAGTTGTCTAAAGAACATCGGATCAAACGGCGGTTTATCCCACAAAGGGGGACGTAGGATTGAACTCTACTGGAGAGTACATTTTCTTTATTAAGTGCACTGTCTGATAAAGATGATACAAAACGTTTAAAATAGAAACGGGTGCTGTTTCAAATATGGAGTTTCACTAAAAATAATGTTTGGAGTAATAAAAAATGTCGGATCAAAAATAAATCCATTAAGTCTTTAGAAATATATTATTGTATCAAAAATATTGAAAGTTCACGTTTCACAATTCTTCGTTCTTCAGGAAATAAATCAGTTGTGTCCTGAAGAGGGAAAATTCAGAAAACCTGACTTGATCTTAGATAAAAAATCGTGGACTTACTGTATGTTGACACAATAATTATTACTCTAAATAGTTACTGAGAACTTTATATATTTTACTACAAATATTTTCATGGTAATTGTTCTGATTAGCTTGCTTCCTTAGTGCTTCGACTTCAGCGTGCTACTAGATTGGCAACTAGATGCAACCTTCTGTTCTATTTTAATAGTTTTTTTTTCATCGCACATTCTCCTTTGTAGAAATCCCTTCCGAATTTCTTGCTTCCCTGCCAACTACAATCTTCAGAAATTTAAATGCAACTTTAATCAACATCTTATGTCTTCTTACTTTTTTCCTACTCTGAAGACGGTCAAGTAATAAACCGTTTTATTAATTTATTTTTTTTTGCATTAGTTATCTGTTTAATACTTTATATATACTTCTTCCCTTTTAAGTAAATGTAATTAAATATATATGTATTGAAATATATATACTTATTGAAAAATATATATATGTATTGAAAAATATGCATTGAAATATATATGTATTGAAAATATATATATATATATATATTGAAATATTAATATATATATATATTCTGTGTTTTAGATAAATATTATGAAAAGCAACAAACTTTTTGTGTCGATTATTTTTAATGATAGACTCTTTCAAATTACGAATAATCCTCCTCAGACCAGGAGGAAATTCCCTCAGAAGTTCATTTCAGAAAAAAAGTATAAGAAATATAATCCAAACTTTTGACTTTCTTAAGTTATTGTCAGGATAGGTAGAGACACCTGAGTTTTATATATAATTAAATAGCTTAAAAGGCAGCTCGATTGGGCGGCAATTAAGCTGCCTCATGTGGCGGTCTCTTGATTAGACCTTCCGCATATTGAGGAGTTTGAGAGGTTTTGCATATTCTCAGCATCCTCACTGCAGCCTTGGCTCTTTTGATTGCAATCTGGTCCTCTGTTGGCGGAGATTTCTTTTTGCAAGACATAATGCTGCCGGATGCAATAGGCAACAATAAACTTCAAAAGAACTCAAAAATGATCGCTGTATTTAAGTATTGCATTAATATTTAAGCTTACCTTTGAAAAGTTCAACGATAATTCTTCTGCCGCCACTTAATTTACAGAAAATTTGATGTACGTATGTCCTTAATTTCCATA